AGAAAATCGATTAAAAGTAACTTCTAAAGGGTTGGAAAAGGTTGGGTTTGGCGATTTCTTTATTTTGACGAGCACCTGATTTCACCATGATACCCCACATTATAACAATAATAATATAATGCTAGTTGTAATCTCGGCCGGAGAGTTTCAAGTGGCTCGTCAGTTAATGTCGAATGTCGAGCCACTTACGATCCTCTTGACTGCTGCAATTTTCTACAACGTTGTTGTCTAGTGTGTTTAGTGCTAGGGATACATGGCATCAGTGATCGTTTCTATTTCTTTTTCTGCCCGTCTCTTATTGTTTCTGTGGGCGGTTGGTGGGCCAGATTTAGTGCTCGGGTAAGTTTTGCTTTTTCTCTCATTAAATCCATTTCGGTTAAAAAATATCTCTTCTTCTACTTTTCTTTGTATGTAACTCTCAAGTAACGCCTCTAACCTTCGGCACTCATAATATGGCCTATTCGGGTTGCAAATGCTGTAAAACTCTTTCTAAAACTGAACTTAACTGTTTGGTTTATGTTTGTCTTTCTTTTTTTTCTCCTGTCCTAAATGGCTGTTATTGTGTTGATGTATTACTCTGTATTCAAACTCAAACAACGCTGAATTTGTGCTCATATGACCTTATGCAATTGCGAGTGCCGTAAAACCCTCAACAAAAATAAAATAATAAAATAAATACACACAAATCAAGAACACAATTGTGTATTATGTCATTGTATGTATGTTTCTGGCTGTGTGTTCAGATGTATTTCTGAAAGAAAGCATGAATTGCAAAATTTGAACGAATAATGAAGATATTTAATTGCTCTCAAAACAGTCTCGTCTTCAAGCGGTGTCGTACAGTCAGAATGAGCGTGCGGTTGTTTGATGGGTGCTCTGGTATTGTATTTCTTCTTTTTTTGTTTGTAATTTACGGCGCTCACAACTGCATAAGGTCATATGAGGGCACGGGACACATACAAATTTTTCAGTTGGTAGGTCTTTTTTAAATTTTTGCCCGGGTGGCAACTGAAGCTTACTCTTATCGTTTTTTGGACCACCAAGGGATCTTTTGCGCGCGCAACTTGCTCACTGGACCTCCGAGATTTTTCGCTCTTTTCCAGGAAGGCTAGGTGTTTGATCTTACATACCATAAGATCAGGGGTGTTGCTGAAAGACAGCAGTAAGAAGCAGCCAAGGAGTAGCAGTATGAAGACTGAAGAGAGAGCTAAGAGCCCAGAGGAGGGGGCAAAGGGGGTGAGGGGGTGGGGGCAGAAAATGGAGACGAAACGAGACGAATTAACATTGCTAGAAAGCAGGAAAGGAGGTGAAAGGAGAACATTTTGGCGAACAACATTTTCCGTCGCTGTCCGGATTCGATCCTGGAACATATTGAGTAAGGCAAACACGGTAGCCTCTCGACTACGAGAGCCCCTTCTGTGTGGTTTACCCCGTCTTCCCTATCAAACATCTATCATCCTGTCGATCTCTCCTCCATTTTTTGCGTTTATTTCTCACTTGTAACAGTAACACCTCTAATCTTTTGCACTTAATATATCTATATAACCTTGTTGTGTTGCAAGTTCCGTAAAACTCTTACTAAAAGTGAAAAAAAATGTGCGTTTCAAGGAGTAAAAAGGGCACGTATATGACATTGTTGTGTTGTAAGTGCCGTAAAAGCCTTATTACTAAAACAACAAAACAAACGAAAAATGTACGATAAAACCATTACCTATTTAGGAACATTCATTCTAGTGTTTCGACATCGCTCTAAGACGCAGTTTTGGGGAACAACTTTGTTGCTCACACATTTTTTTTCTATTCTGTTTTCTAAATCTAGAAATTATTTAGTGGATGGTTGGCGGGTGCTCTGGTATGGTTTGCTCCTTTTTTCCTCTCAAATATCTGTCGTCCTTATCTTTCCTCCTTCTTTTTTGTGTATGTTACTCTCTTGTTACACTATAATTCTTCGGCATTTACGAGCTATATAATATAGACTTTTATTGTGTTGCAAGTGCCTTAAAATTATTACTAAAGCTAAGAATTTATTTACACTGGCAAAAAAATGTACACTATGAAAATCAAATAATCATTCAAATTTTGTGTGTACTGATTCGTGTACGATGGTCCAAAGTGTGTCTCTACATTGCTATTGATCTGATGCGATGCTGATCGGGTGTGTCCGCTGCATACGAGTTAAAGAGTCCCTGCTTATGACCCAACCTTCCCCTCACCCCTACCCCCGACAAAAAGAAAAATTCTGCGGCTGGTTGTAGTTGGTTGGTTGGTGGTGGGGGTGGCTCGTTAAATTATGGTTAGATAGTTTGAGTCTTTGCTATTGATCCTCCTACCAGAGAATTCTGCATGTGGATTGAGGAGAAAAAAGGGGAAGGTGGGGGGTGGGGGGGTGTTGCAGAACTTTTGGGGTTG